GGGGGGCTGCAGTGATGGTTGACTTTCTACAACTTTCTCCCATCTCCCGACTGCATCTCTGGAGCTCAGCCACAGTCATCTTTGGGTTCTTCTGTACCTCTCTCACCAAGGCTCTTCTCCCCCGATAGCTCAGTTTGGCCGGACGGCCAGCTCTAGGAAGGGTTGTGGTCGTCCCAAACGTCTTCCATTTAAGGATTATGGAGGCCACTGTGCTCTTAGGCACCTTAAGTGCAGCAGAAATTTTTTTTTGTAACCTTGGCCAGATCTGTGCTTTGCCACAATTCTGTCTCTGAGCTCTTCAGGCAGTTCCTTTGACCTCATGATTCTCATTTGCTCTGACATGCACTGTGAGCTGTAGGGTCTTATATAGACAGGTGTGTGGCTTTTCTAATCACGTCCAATCAGTATAATCAAACACAGCTGGACTCAAATGAAGGTGTAGAACCATCTCAGGGATGATCAGAAGAAATGGACAGCACCTAAGTTAAATATATGAGTGTCACAGCAAAGGGTCTGAATACTTATGACCATGTGATATTTCAGTTTTTTTTTTTTAATAAATCTGCAAAAATGGCAAACATTCTGTGTTTTTCTGTCAATATGGGGTGCTGTGTGTACATTAATGAGGAAAAAAATGAACTTAAATGATTTTAGCATATGGCTGCAATATAACAAAGAGTGAAAAATTTAAGGGGGTCTGAATACTTTCCGTACCCACTGTATAAAGGTCCGCATTTCCAGCCTGTATGTATGGTACTATTTAGTTCCTGTGAAGCCAGAACATGTACACTGGACATAAACCGCTGCGAGTGCGGTTTGATCACCTTTTTTAGAAGCAGACATGCAGTCAAAGAGATTTCAGGACAAAAGTTAGAATCATATGTAGGGACACAAAGAGCTTCACATTACACCGTTTCTTACTGGAAAAACTTGAAGGCCTTGACAGATCCCCCACTGTTGGAGAACAGAAGACGTAGGTCATCCTCTCCAACGCCATCCCTGGACATGCAAAGAACTAACTATAGTACTGAAGCAAAGCAACATGAAGGATTGCTATGTTAAACTATAAACACATACTGATATAATATGTTGTACTACCGGATATTGGAGAGGTGAAGTGTTGCAGAGGGAGGAAAGATGTTCTGGAAGTTCTTGGATCCTGGTTTCTTAAAGCGATGGAGTGGTGAGCCAGAGAAATCTGCCCAACAGAACCAAAATAATGACAGTGACAACAGTAATGTTAGGTGAAAAAAGTGTGTGTAACAAAATAAAGAATATTATCATATGATATTAACTGGTATTAGAACCTCACACTATATAATACTGCTGCTATCCAACTCAAAGATTCAGAAGACAGAATTAAACCTTGGATGAGAAAAACCTCTATTCAAAAAGTGCTTTACTAAATTAAGACAGTACTCCCACAAGTCAGCACTGCAATTCTCTAACATTTTCAAACTCCTGATGAACAGCTCACAATAAATAAATAAAAAAAACAATGCAGCAGATATGTCATTCCATACATTCTAATTAACCCCCACATCTACATTACCCACAATGCTATCTAACTGCCCACACTTCTGTCAGAGATTCAGCAAAGAGTACAAACTCTTAGAAACTCTGGTGCCTTTTGACAAAAGCCACATGGCGCTGTGGTAGTGCAGCCGCCATTTTGGACTGAAAACGGCTGTGGGAACAGCAGAAACCCTACAGACAAATAACTTAACTAAAACAGTGTTTGGCACTCAATTGTAATAGCTAACAGTGTGAGAGTAAACAGCCTGTAAACAGTTTTATTAGTAAATTTATCTAATTATTTCCACCTGGAACTTGTCTTTGCACTGGACCATTTATCCCATATAGGCTACTCATCTTTAGACCAACCTTCCCTATTTGAAAAATAAAAGATTCCTTGGTCTAAAATCAACCATAAAACACCTGAGATTGCAGAGTCTGCTCTGCCTTTAAACTTTCTGCTTTTGTAATATAATTAATGAACCCTTTGTTTTTTTCTTCTTCCTCTCAGCAGTTCTTGTTAATTTTCAGTCTGAAATGGCTGTGCAGACTGCGAGTTAAATAAATGTATACAGTCTAATAGCCTACTGCCTTTTACAGGTGGGAGGAGAAACTCAGAAATCCATCACTGATAGAGATCCGCTCAACAGCTCCATCAGAGCTGCAGGGTGTGCAGCGCATAATAGCATGAATACTTATTATATTTTTATTGTTCATTAAATATGACAACAAAAGAGAAAGAAGTCTGTTTTACTCTTGTACATTTAGCTGGCATTATTAAATTCTTCCATAGGTTTGGCAGGTAGCGCCGCTGCTGGATGGAACTTTCAGTTAGCTTTTACTCCCTGGATTCAGGCATGTTTTGCTGGCACTGGATAACGTACCCTCAAACTGAGATAAGTAGCAATGACAAAGGTCTAATTTAATTTTATAATGTTTTGAATCCTGGACCTTATTTGGCATTTAAGACCAATGCCATCTCAACAGGCATATACAAATATAGTGGCAAGCTCACTTCCAGAATACCGATATGTTCTTACCTTTAGTCAACAGTTGGTCATCCAGTCCTTCTCTGGGCAAAGCCACTGTCTGATGTTTTGACAGTGTCACTCTCATCACTTTACCAAACACCTTCTGACCATTCAAGTGGCTCATAGCTATGGGTGACAACATTTTTAGAAAAATGAGGTTGATACATTTATAATGTTACTTGCATAAAATTGTTTGTTGGCTGTTGAGGAAATGAATCTTTCACAGGTAACCCTTAATCCTCATTTGATTTTACAGTGGCCATCGAATTCTACACAAAGAAATTATTTCACACCATGATTAGGCTGAGCACTAACCAACTGGGTCAAAAAATCTAAATACAGCAACATATGTCACACCCATGGTCACCAACTTGTCAAATTCTTCCAAATGCCCTCAGTTTCACATGAATTTCTAGACACTGACTGTCTAACATACAGCTTTCAAATGTTCATATACGAGAATAAAATACCTCATCCAGTGGGCCTAGCAAGTGAACATATCAGGACTCATGTCCACTTCTGATTTGAATTAAATAAATAAATAAAAAACAGGCCAATACCATAGGATCATCATCTAAAACTCACCCAGCTGAGCCTGGTTGCCATCGGAGAGCTGGATGAGAGCGCTGTCCTTTTTGTTGTAGAGGATCTTCACCCTCTGGACATCACCATAGACTCCTGAAGGTAGGGAGAGAGTGAGAGAGACAGAGAGCGAGCAAGAGAGAGCAGGGTGGAGGAGGAGGACAGAACAGACAGAGCAGGAGAGATGGAGCCGACCAAAATAAAAAAGGAGAGGTGTGAAGGGTGGAAGGAATAAAGTTAGTGTTAGAAAGACAAATGAAAAGAAAGGATGGAATTTTCCCATTTGACAACTACTAGAAAGTCAACCAAATACTTCTGTGTAAGCAGGTCGTTTTATGTCATGACCAGTGAGAAAGGTCAAACCCCTAAACTGAAACACACCTGTTCTGCATAATTCAAAGATCCAGCTTGATTAGGTGATTAAACATGTAAAACTATTAATATCTGTGTAGGAGAAAGGACACCTTTTCAAAATAAATGTATAAAGAAGACCTAAAAATGCTTTACTTTTAGGCAAATACATTTACACTGACGATCCTGGAGTCGCTAAAACTGGTGTAGTAAGTGTAAGGACAAACATTTGTCTTGTATGACCCTTATGATTTTTCTACTTTACGTCAGTGAGTTGGCAGGTAATGCCAACTGCAAAGCTGAACAAGTGACTTATACAAAATCTAGATAAACAGACAAAAAGAAAGGATGAGATGCAGAGGGTTGACAAACTAGAAAGGGCCTTATCGAGTACACCGGAACACTGAGATCAACTTAACCATTAATGTGGTGAGAACAGAAAACACTAAAATAATCCACGTGCCCCTGACGAGTGGCAGCTCCAGTGCTCTACACAAAGTCATTTAACAGACACTATCTGCATAATTAGGGATGGGCTTCACCTTTGGTTACACCAAATATTTAAGAATGTAGCTTTTCTAATCATAAGACAATAGAAAATGTGATCATTTAAGGACCAGTAATTAGATAACCATCATTTTGGGTAAAGGCTGTAAAAGAACACCAAGTATAACACCCACTCTATCACCCAGTGGATGTAAATATAACACCCACTCTATCACCCAGTGGATAACAAGTCAAATAAAGCCACTAATGTTTTCACATGCACTATGCACTTAGCATTCATTGTTCCACTGCTGCAAGTCACAAAAATGTGATGGTCACAGAATACCACGGTAGGATACCACGGTAGGATACCACGGTAGGATGAGGCAGAGAACCTGTCCTCAAGTTATCAAACATGCACATTCTTACTTTATCATGTTGGATGAAAAATAAATATTTTAGCAAAGGGCTCGTCATTACCCCTCTGTTGTGTGTATCCTCCCACACATTATTTATTACATCATGTAGTGTCAAAGAGACTGAGAACATGACTCAAAGATTTGATTGGTGATTCTCTGACCTTTCTGTAATAATCTGTCCATGTAGAGTGACTGACTGGCAGGAGAGAACATTAGTATTTTGCCAACTGGGTAAGAGGGCAAACACACAACCCATTTTTTAAAATATGCCATCAAAACGCTAATGAAGTCTCTTGCTGTTCTAATTACTCTGCTTCACAGAAATAGCTTTTAGTGTAATCCAGCTGTGAAGGTGCTGGCTTGGCAATCAGTCACTAATCAAACCGGTCTAAACTTGCACACCACATTTTCAATGGCAGACCCATTTTAAGGAAAGGAGATGACATGGCAAAATGTTTAGACATGGATATGCTGCAATGAGAAGCACATTAATTCAGTCTGGGCAAACCATACAAGATGCCCACATTGCAGAGCCTGTTCCAGTGCTAATAGCGAGGAATGTCGTATGTGATGGAATCTTGGTTAAAAGCCCAACCTACAAACTGGGAATCAGATTTGTGTTTTAATAACATGGATGATTTTGGTGTCTTTGTTCTCATCAGTTAAGAGATAAGCTGATCATACAGTCACTATTCTTTTAATTTAGAGACAACTTAAGAGATAAGCTGATCATACAGAAATCTCAGAGTCACTATTCTTTTAATTTAGAGACAAACAGATTTTAAATATGTAATGCACAATATGATAGAGGGAGGCTTGGAGATACAAAAAGATACAGAGGAATAAGCGTGTCCACGATATCACTGAAGAAAGTGAACAAAATTGGATTAACAGAGAGAGATATACAGATAGAATAGTAGAGGTTGAACATACCGAAGAGGGTAAAGAGACTTTGAGGCGTGACCATCTTTAGAGAGAGAGACCGCAGAGCAGAGGACAGGAAGAGGAGGAGCAGAGGAGGAGGAGGAAGAGGAGAGACGAAGGTAGAGATCAGACCACCCACCGTTGGACGTGGGGGGAGGGGTGGTTTTCCAGGATGATGAGGGATGGAGCAAAGATGGAGGGCAGGTAGGGTTTGGGAAGGGGGTCAAAACGGCAAAGCCATAGTCAGTTTAGACCAGATTAAGAAAAAGTGAAAAGGGGGAAAGGAGATGAAAGAAAGTTGGGATAAAAGTACATGAGAGAAGGTTTTTAAAAGATGTGTTGAACATCAGACAAAGTTTGGCCAAATAAATGTGTGAAGGGAGGAGCAGGGGTGGGAAGAAAGAAGGCAGGGAAGGGAGAAAGGAGGAGAGGAGGACAAAAACCAAAGCAGAGGTCAGTAAACAGAGCATCAGTGGAACATCAACGGTGTCTGAATGACTGCTGGTTCATTTCCAAACACACACACACACGTCCAGTTCTGTTAACACACAACCACATTCCCTGTAGAATACATTTATTAGAGAGGAAAATAAAAGAATGGAAGGAAAGTGGAATGGAAAAATGAACAAACCAGAAACATACACACATAACCAAAAGGGGGCAGTACCATGCAGCAGATGGCCAACCAGGTCACATGTAACTAGAGGTAAATGTCGGCAGGATCGCCGTCTGTGACTGGCACATCAGACTTGTGTAAAAGAACAGCAACTTCAATTTGATTGCTTTCTAGGAAAAGAAATGTGCACCGTTTCCAATTTACACACACACACACACACACTTAAATACAAAAATCTTCATATAAGAAGACAAATCAATTTAAACAAATAAATTTTTACTCAGAATGTCCAACATCCCACATGAGACTTGTGATACCACAGCATAAAGCAGTCACCTCTGCATGGGACACACACTCAAAATCCTGTGTTCGAGTCCAAACATTGCTGCTAAAATTGAAAAATCAGATATCTGGACCAAGATTTTTCACCCAATTGTCAATGTGAAACAGTTGGTGGTGGTGCAGGTGGACAGCCTACATCCACAGTAATTCATTACCTAGGTAAAACACAAGATGTGGTAGTTTAACCACAAAGAAGTTTAGTAGATGAGGGTCTATAACACAGGCAGACAAACTAACTTGAAAAGTGGAGTGTGTCTAAGCGAGACGTGAGTGAGACGAACGCTACTGAAGCGAACGGGACCGGCATGTTCTGGTTCTTTAAAGCCATCAGAACAGTTGTCTGTCAGTCAGGAGGACAGCGGCCAGACCAACAGCACAAGTGTACTGGCCAAAAATGGTTTTCATGCAAGATCATCAGGAAGAAATAACATTTTTATGTAGCCTATGGACTTATTGATTTTATTGATCTTCCCCAGCTGGTTACAGAGGAAGAGAGTGAAACTCAAGGACCCTGATCAGTCGTAACAGATACCAATAGCAACATCCATCCACTTATGTTGAAGAGGGTCACAGGGGGGCTGGACCCAAACCCAGCTGACATTGGACGAGAGGCGGGGTATACCCTGGACAGGTCGCCAGACAACCACACACCCACAGGCAATTTAAAGCTGCCAATCAACCTAAGCTGCATGTCTTTGGATTGTGGGAGGAAGCCAGAGCACTTGGAGAGAACCCTCAAGGGAGAACACACAAACTTCACACAGAAAATCGGGGCTCAAACCCGGAACATTCTTGCTGTGGGGCGGCAACAATAACCACTGCACCACCATGTCACCCATGGATGGATAGATGGATAAACACATAAATAAAATGCCAGGACTCGACAGGAAACGCGCGTCTCATTTGACAGAATGAAATTCTATCTGCAGTGTGAGATGAGTATAAAAACACTGGCAGTGTGGATTAAAGGTTAGATTGTTGCCACACCACGAGTTAAACTAGCCAAACAATTGTCTCATCCTGTTCAGCTGCAGTTGTGCTGCAAATACGGACGATACCACATAATTCATCATCACTACCAGATGTCTTAACAGTGTTTTGAGTCAATCTTGCTCTTAATGCTCTACTGTGACAAACTGGACTTAGACTAAAATAAAAGATTAGCCTGTGTCAGGAATTTCTACCACCATGCTACCTGGAAACCTTCTAAGTGTTGGTCGGCCCATTGGATGAAAGTTGAGAAAGGGTGAACAAATGATTTAAAACAATCCCTTTCATTCAACACTCAGGATGTGAAACATGGCTACACCACACTCAACCACTACCTAGCCACTGGACAGTATTACATCCTCTCAAATGTATGCACTGCACACTGTAGATAAAGATGGGATGGCATGGGACAACACCACAGCTTGCTAGAAGTGAAGCCACTGCAGGTTGATTGCCCCCTGGTGGCCACTTGCAGCAGAGGTTATAAACCCGGCCCCCTCCATGGACGAGACATGAGCCAAACTAAATTAAATATTATCACAATGATTTGTGCACAGGTGGTCATTTTTCTTATGTTTTGACAAGTTAATTGAGGATATAAAAAGTGGTGTATTTTGTATTACTGACAGGTTTGATTGGCTGCCAGATACCATGGCTCCACTGTACAAAATTTGAATTTGGACTTTTCTCAGAATTCAGAGTTTAAAATCTGAACTATGACTTTTTTTTTTCAGAACTCCGAGTTTAATCTCAGAAGTTTGAGGGGGAAAAAGTCAGAATTTAAATACATCTTGTACAGTGGCCATAATCCTTCCACTGTCTCAACCTCTGGTCACAACTGCACAGAATCTGGCTTCAAAATACACACAACAATATTCTGTTATAAGTGACAGAAAGTGGTGACATATTGCCCATGTTTATATACTGTATATGGTATACACATACTGATGCTCTCAAGCTGATAGATTGTCAGAGAGACCGGTACGCTGTTTCCAAAACAGTCGGGATACAGCTGATGCATTGACTTTACCAGAAGGGAGCAGGAGTGTGAAAACCATGACGCTACTATGGAGCAAGAGTGGGACTACAACAGACAGAGGGACAGAAAGGAGAAATGGAACACACACAAATAACAGGTGCTGTAGGTACAAAGATACAGATTACAGAGCAGGTGCACATTTACATTTAGACAATCAACAAAGTACACAGCTGTATGGAAAGGTTTGCCCAGTCCTTGCGGATTTTGTTGATTTCTGAAGTAACAAGTAGTAACTGCAACCAGTGCAATAAACAGACAGTACAGGCCTTTCTTCGAATGTAAAAAGCATTTCTTCAGCTGGTAGACTGTTTAAGGGAAAAACATTCAACTGTAATTATGGTGCATGCTACAGTTTGTAACTGCTCCTGTGTCTTATATCACCGTTTAGGGCCAACAATTGCACTGTGATTTTAATTCCTTTTAACTATAATACATGGACTAGGTGGAAGATACATGATAAATCATGCTGTAACTTGGGCAAACACACACATCCACACAGAAATTCACATTACTATCACTTACTCAAGAAAATCAGTAATGTCTGGTCAGTAGTTGAAAAGAGTGACATAAAGCAGAGTGTGGAAATACGCATTCACAGTCAGGTTATGGTTAAGGTTAGTGTACCTCTTCATTTAGGTTGGATGCCAACAGGACTCCTGACACACCGGACCCAGACAGAGCAACACGACCTGCAGCCGCTGCTGCAGCAGCAGCTGCACTCAGAGGGCTAATGGCACCTGTTAGGGAAGCACAAGACATTAAATATGTGTGAATCATGCAGAAAAACGAATGAATTTAAAACCATTACACACAACAAAAAAGACTGACGCTCTTGTTAACATCAGCAACAACAGTGCAAAACAACTACATAAACTTATTCCCAAGATTAACCACCCTTCCTCAAAAATTGGTTCTAAACGGCTCTGTTCAATTACCCCAGCACGCTACCGCACTTTTTTATTTTTAAATCAAAAGTAAAAAAACAAAAATACACACACCAATCAGGGATGGAGATGTGCTTGATGCCATGGTGTAAATGTTTCAATTAGTGTAACCTTCAAGTTAAGAAGACGGTGAGCTTTCCACTGCTGTGTGCAATACAACCTAAAAAACTTCATCCTCATCGAAACATACATTAATATTGGTAAGTACATTAAAACAGTTCCATTTGGTGGCAGCTCTGAATTTCAGGGGGTGTAAATGGTCAACACTACTGCTTCAGTATATTCAGTAATGAATATTATTATTATACTTTAATGTTGAAGCCATTAAATAGCCTGAATGTTTGCAAACCGATTTCCATTAAAGTATATTAAAATGTATAGAATAACTACATAAAAGTGCATTGTTCCTATCTGCTTAGAAATGATTTAGACTGGCTAATTACCAATTCTTAGTCCACTATTTGCCTTACTTATTGATATAGCTGTAATACCAGCCAACCACTGTGGCCACTGAAAGAAAGGCTTTCCACCCCTGGTGCATTCAAACAACCACAGCATGGCATGACACGAGACAGGACAGAAAGCAGCAGAGAGAGAGAGAGAGAGAGAGAGATTGGAAAAAAAAAAGAATTATGAAAAAAAGCAAGCAGTTACCTCCACAAAGTGAGAGGGAGAGAGATGATGAGTAACCTCCTCCACTAGAGTAGGAAGCTAACGCTCCAGATGGAGTACCTACAAGACAGTGACAACTAGAGTTACATCAAAAAATACTTATCTAACCTAAAGAGTACAGTTATCACAAGCCACAAAACTGTCCTTGTTACTACTTACTACGACCAATACAACAAATATTTATTAACCAATATGACACAAGCATTCAGGCTCCTTCACTCTGTGCACAATTTATTGTTGAAGCCACTGGGATGGAAACGCACGGTTTTAAATTTCTAATGATATGGACATTTTGCCCTCATAAACGTGGCATCCAAGGTAGACCTCTATGGTCAAACTGAGGCGAGACATAGATCAGGGCGAGGGTTTAAAACCCTTTAAAGTTTTGAGTGTTTCCAGGAGCAAAGCCTCAATTGTGAAAAGGAAGAGGTTTGGAACCACTGGGACTCTTATAAAAGCGGCTGTCCAGTAAAACCAGTTAAAGCCATTGATTACCAATGTGCAGACTAGCTGTGACTCTGGCATAATTGTTTATATATTTGCTTGGTTGGTTTGTGTTTATTTGTAAGAATAAAATGAATACCCACTAAAACTATCTGCTGAGGACACCTCCTTTGACTTTAGTGCTCTACATAATAATATAATGATGTCTATCAGTGAAATCAGGGTTTTCCCTACCACAAAGACTTTAGCCCAGGGAGTAAGGATTTGTGTGTCAAAGCCAGATTAAAATTTATGGTAACAGTTATGTTTTTTAAAAGAAAGAACAATGCTACTGCCTCAGTTTTAAACATGAACTGTGCATGTGTTGGAGCAGGTCTGAACCGACTGTAGTTGGTCAAGTAATTTCCATGGCTTCACTCAACACGCCCCCAGCATTTCAAAGCAGAGAATACTCTTTTTTTTTGATTATGAAAACTGATTTTATATACTAGGTGATATGTTTAATCATTCAAATGTTTTCCTGTGGGGTGACAAAGTCAGAACAGATATATTTCTACTTTACCCTGAGTTTAACGTCTACTTACCCTTTCTGTCTACTGATTTGAGGCAGTGCTTAAAATAAACCTTTCATACCAACACAAAAACAGAGGCAGAGTGGAACCATAAGGATGTACTGGTTGGAATGGTGCTGAACCACAGAAGTGTCTCTCTCAGGAGAACTGTCTCTGGCTTCACATTTACAGCCTCATGTGAGCCCATGACTGAGGTATGACAGAGCAGCACTACTGGCAAAATAATACGTCAGTAAGTGGAAACACCAACAAGGGGGTCTTCAATTCAGAGCATGAATGAGGCCACAAGTGTTACAGATCACTTGGAGGGGAATCTTAATGCATGTGGTGTAGATGGATCAAGAGAGAGATGTATATTTGCCCAATAAAGAATGATCCTTGTTTGTTGATTCTCCGTCTCCAGTCGGAAGGTCAGGTCTGGTGTAATCTCGACTCTTATCATTGTTGTATTTGACATTGAGGTTGACCAGTTTACTGAAGTCTATCCGCAGGGTACAACAGGAATTATAAATGTTCTGTCCATCCAGAGACTGGTGTGAAGGAATGAAAGAGAGAGAAAGATCAGTTTTTAAACAGGATTTCTCATACAGACCGTTTTATGCCAAATGCTGTACAACCAGACTGGTGGAATTTACAAGCTAATACTGGTATTTAGGCACTTCAACATCTGATAACATAGCAGATGACAGTACAATACCATTTTACATAAATCTTGATACAGAGAGACTGTGTTTGGCAACAGGCAATGTACAACAACATACAGAGTAGAGCAATCGAAGGTGGGGGGGAGGGGAGGCAGTGTTCATAAATATTATATACATACGGTATATATCAATAAGATGTATTTATTGCACAAATAACTGTCAAAGCTACCAATTACCTCACATTCAAAGAAATTAGAACAAACAATATTTAAGAAAAATAAAGATTAAATCCACTTTGTCTAATCTAATGAAACAGATCAAATAATAAAACTGAAATGAACTTTCAAGTTGGTACAAACTGCAGTTTGAACTGCTCGTCAATTTGACCCAAACTGCTCATTGTCTCATCATGAGGACAGTGTATGACTCATTGCTGCACTTAATTTTTATTGGTGTTGAAAATCACCATGGTATCAGTGTATGAAAATCCTCCCACAGCTCTGGGTCCCAGCCAGATGTTCTGTTAGCTTCTGTCCGCTGGCTCTCGTGCAGCCTGCGCTTGTCTCATAGCCTGTGTACCTGCGCACCAATGCTTATGCTGACACCCAAGCATCCCTGGTTTCCTCTTCTTCTGTGGTGTCATGCTCACGTTAGTGTCAACAGCAGCTAAATAATTTAGGTTTTACTAACATTAGCTTTATTAAAAGAACTTATCTCACGTTTACTCAAACTTCATTACAATGCAGATTCGCTCTGTGATAATTACTCAGAGATCAATTGTTATGTTAAACTATTAGAACGACACTGCTTACTGACACATCGTAATGTCGGTGTAACGTATTTAAAGTGCAGACCAGACAAACACGATGACATTGCTGTTCCACAAGAAAAGATTAAATATCATAAACTTACTTATAAGTTTTTTGTGTAAATCTCTTGTCCTGCTGCAGATAGTGAGTTTATAGCCGTCGGTGTAAAATACGAGTCCAGACGTGGCTGTTTGTCTAGAGTTCCAGACGCCAGGACATGCTCATTTGGCTATGTATTTTTGAGATATGTCCTCAGGTTGCCAGTGGTGCAATGGTAGGCTAACTTAACGCTCTCCCTAACTTTATTTCAAGGCTCCACAACTTCGCTGTGTACTGACCAAAAAACAAAGTATTTCCAAACGGGGATTTTAGGTTGTTTGGGGCACAAATCGCTCTCTGTAGATACGGTGGACTGTGAACTCTCTGCCATCATTACTGCACCTAGTGACTCCTGTCGTGCTGCGGTGCATTGAGTGCAGCGGCCCAGGGCCACGTGAGAACTCGCAAGTCAGAGAGCTGCAGTTGCTTTTTTAACAATAGAATATTAATTTTCACAATTGAAAGTCTGTTTCTTTTTACCATTCAATTATATAATCGAATTTTGAATATTCGTTAACAGCCCTAGTCATGTAGTACTATTATAAGGAAAACTGATACAATGTTAAAGACTCACGTTGACTGTTAATATCATAACCACAGAAGAAATATTTCCCATTGTTGCAATTTTTCCAACGGTTGCTGTGTAAACAGTTATAATATCTACAGAGGGATGAGCCTACCAGTTTAGCTTGTTGTGCATTGACGGGGTCACTGAACTGCAGAAGAGCCTGAAATTGGTTGTTCTTGGTGAATGTTATAATCTTCATCACAGTCCCAAACTTACTGAAGATCTGCAAGAATCAAGAACAAGAAATGCATAGAAAATAACACAGCATGTGGGCAAGAGTTTATGTAACTTAACATTCTAGTTTGATCCTGCAACAAAATTATTATCACAATTAGCAACATCTGAGGAGGTAGTGGTGGTCATTATTTAATGCTCATTTTCTTTCACTTTTCCTCCACAGAAAGGTTCTGTTTTGTTCTAAAGACACCATTTTTGTTGCTAAGAAGATCCAAACATTAAGGATGAGGGCAAACTTGACTATGGGGCTGCATGTATCAATCTGACGGCTGCATTTATGAAAAGTGTCCTGGCTTTACCTGCTGCAGAACATCCAGTGTGACGGGATAGAACATGTTGTCAATGATAATTCGCAGTACAGGGCTGGGGGGTGGGTTGAGGTCTAAAACTCCTGGGTTGGAGGATGGAGAGCTTCCATCCTGGACTGCAGACACTGCCTGCAGCACTGCCTGGGCTCTCTGGGTGGCAAGAGATGAATATGGAGAACTTATTCTACGTCAGTCTAACCATCTGGTTTGACTGAAGCTTAGTGTCAAGTGTACAAATCAACCTGTGTGTATACCTGATTCAGAGCAGAGTCTGTTTTCAGTTCCTTATGGGTGGAGTACTGGATGAAGACAGGTGTATTTCTGACCTAAACGAAATAAGATCCATATGATGCACTATGCGGTTCACATCCCCTACAACAAGAACACAAACTACTATAATATGCAATGGGAATGGACACTCCTGCATTTCAGACCTGTGGAGTGACAGCTGTGTAGTAGTTCACCATAGTAATGGCTGCTTCCTCTGTACCCAACTCTAGAAATGCCTAGAAACAACACAGTAGTACCAAATCACCTCCAGGACAACATGTCACTGTTCTTTTCTTGTACAGAAAACAGTAATATCATTGTTCATCTTAAATGTTGCTGTGATTACAACACTGTTATTCTATCACTTTCACACCAAAAATACACAGTCTAACATTTTAGTTCACCTGGTTTTTCCCCTTCAGCATCAGTATGTTGGTGACCTTTCCAAAGGGTAGGCCCAGAGCAATGACTTCCGTCTCTGACACTTCACTGGGAAGTTTCCTGATGTGGAGAACTCTGGAGGGAGGGGATTCATCCAGACGCTGTTTCTTACTGTCACTGCCATTTGCTGAACATGGGGACGCACAAATAATAAAAGTTAAATTATCACGCCAACAGACCTTGACACTGCCACAAACATGTAAGTAAGTATGGATGCACATTATAGAATTCATAATGGCTTATTTCTCTTATTGGAATTTTTATTTTAGAAACCAAATGAACATTACTGATCTAGAAAGAAAACGTCATTCACTGATATACTTATAAATAAGGCTTATGGAGCATTAAAACCCAACTTCATGACCTATCACCCAGTTTATTTAAACACCAACTTTTTTAAGACATGGCAAATAAAATGTTTCTTCCCTCAACATAAAATGTACAAATTCTTCAAGTAACATTTTCTGTTTAGACTTAAAAAGTACTTTCCCGCTTCTTGCACCATACTTTGTGACCATTTTGACAGTGTCGGCCAAACTTTCACCGACATGTCTGGACTGATTTTTTTCATGACCAAATGTTTTTTGACCCAATTTTTGATCTGTCATGTCATCTATAACATGAAATCCATCACTGAGTAGGTATGCAGACACCCTAGTAGATTCATACTCCTGCTTCAGTCTTTTTTTATCCTATTCAAGTATTCAGGTTGATCAGCTACCTATATAAATGATGCCTTCCAGGTTCTGATTAACTGTGCAGGCATGTCATTCAGTCCACTAAACCTCATATGGTCCGTCATGCCTATTATCTACTGAAGTTCGATATTACCACGATCAGACTTCCGGACCCCTTCCTCATTACTCAAGATATTCTGGATTCCTACTTTAAATGATGGTGGGCTGTGACTGCCTATCAGGGCTAAGCTTTATCTTACCGGCCATAGAATTGGGGCTGCTACTGTACATGTTGAGCTCATCTGAGCCTCTCTGAAAAGTTAAGGGGGGGGGAAAAAAAGGTCATATCATTTTAAATTCTAAAAATATCATATGCACAATGGCATAATAATAGCAGGTATATGTCAAACGCTATACTGCATAATCTCTGCCTTACTGAGCAGCAATGCAATCAAAAGTAACTGACATACACTAATAAGCACAAAACAGGAACAAACAGATGATACAGTTATAAAATTACACTGACGATTTAACAGTCAGTTTAACAATATCGTTCCCTACAAAGAGACAACAAATGCCAAGTTTGTTTAAGTAAAAAAATAAAACAATAAGAAGTGAGACAGCTTGCCTTTACACCAACTGCAACATCACTGCCAGCGGGGAGATAGCGGGGAGATAAGGGGAAAAGAGAATTAAGTGAAAATAATGTTATTTCAAATTTGCATGCATAGAGAAACATATACAGTCAAATAACACAGATTCAAGAATTGACATACTGAGCAACATTTTTCATCACTTTGCTTCAAGATGGGGCTGTCCAAGCAGCATCAAAGATATCAAACACCATTACAGAGGCTACACCGCTTTAAACATCCCCAACATCTAAGTGGAGTGTTAACCAACAGCAGTATCAATTCTTAGACATTTTAAACTTTGCCACTTAAAACTAAGATTTAAACAACTCAAGTACTTTCCAGTTTGTCAAGAAGGTAAATGCCATTTAGTATTTTTCATTACATTTCTTTCATTTTGTAATATCACAGGCTGTCACCTCTCTTCATGGCAGCTGTCCATACATTAGATATATTCAAGTTTACATATCCTACTCCAAAAATCTAACAGCCAACATTATATACAATAGGTCAGTGTTTCGGTTTAGCTAGAGACCAGTATAAATGGTAATAATCTGCTGAATGTGTCTGTGCTGTTCCTTATGAAAGCTGTTAAAAACAGAGAAAACTGTCCTCATAAATGGCCCCTGTTTGTTTTTCAGTTAATTGTCAACACATATTAAATTCATCTCTGGAGTCTTATTTGAGTAATTGTGTCAAAGATCCTGTGGATCAAGAGGTGTGGCGTGGCGGAAACATACCCTGAGGGTGCGGGGTGTATTGGGGGTGGGGGGTACAGGCTAGTTATTTTTCAGTGACAGCTATAATCCAAGTTTTTTTAACCTTTGTAAAACTAAGTCCACAACAGTTCACTAGTCAGTGCTGCACTAAACAACGTAACCACAGACATGAATGTGCGTTCAGCTTAAGAGCAGCTGCAAGGACAATGAACGGACAAACAGATTTCACCAGGCCGACTGACAGCAGAAACGTGCTGGACAACAATAGCTTTCATGTAGGCCTTATGCACGTAATCATAACAGACACCAATAAAAAAATTTGCAACAAAAAATAAATGGGGACTTGGGTGATTTAATCAGCTGTCTGTGGAAATTACAGTGCACTCAGTGAAGAAGAGAAACGATTCAGGCTGTGCGCATCCTTATGTCCGCTAAGGAGTGACGGAATTTTCATCATCTTCCCAGGTCTGCACGGACAAAATGAAGTATATGAAACAATACTGAGATTTCAGAATGTGAATATGAAAGAAGTATTTGTGCGGGTTCTCACTCACAGGGGAATTAAGGGGAATGAAATGGTGGATTCTTTGGCAAAGGCGGCAATCGAGCAGGAAAATATAGTGGAAATCTCATTTAACAAAGGAGCAGCAAAAACAAAAATGTAACAAGTTTGTCAGTAAATGGCAGCCAAATTGGGACCGTGACAGAGCAAGGTGACATCTCTGTTCAGTTCAGAAGAATGCAGGAAACATCAAGGAACAACAAGGAGGGAAGTGTTATGACAAGGTTCAGAATGGGACATACAAGGTTAAACATGACATTGCACTTGAGAGGTAAACATCTGTCTGGGTTGTGTGACTTTTACCAAGTAAAGGAGACAGTTGAACATGTACTCTTTCAAAATGACGCTGTAGGAATGGCTGCCTGTTATAGCAGTAACTGTGGCTCACTACTGGGTTTTTCCCTTTTTTCTTGTCATTTTTGTATTTTCTATATTTGGTTTGCTTTGCTGTTTGTTTTTAGCACTACAGACACTAAACTGCAGAGAGTGTCTGGTCCCTGTTTCTACTTTTCTCTATTTACGACTGTGCTGGATCCCACACAGAAACATGGTAGCTATTGTCCCAAGAAGGCACAGCAGAGGATGTACTTCCTGTGCCAGCTAGGGAAGTTCAACCTGTCCCAGGAGCTGCTGATACAGTTCTACAGAGGAATCATCGAATCTGTTCTCTGCACCTCCATCACTGTCTGGTTTGGCTCAGCAACCAAACAGGACAAGTACAGACTTCAGCGGACAGTGAGGACTGTAGAAAAGATCATCGGTGCCAGTCTGCCCTTCATGGAGGACCTGTACACCTCACGGGTCAAAAGGAGGGCAGAGAAGATTTCTGCAGACCCCTCACATCCTCACATCCTGGATATAAACAGTTTAACCCCCTCCCCCCCCTTCCCAGGTCACTGTGCACCAAAACAACCAGATGCAAGGACAGTTTCTTCCCCTAGGATGTCACTCTGATGAACACTTAACCCATGATTGTATAGCAGAACGACAACCCTCAGTGTAATACCTGTAAATATATCTTTGTACATGTCTATCTGGAAAACTGCATCTAAACTGTGTATATGTATTTCTATATTTATAAGTACTTTATTTTTATTTTCTTAATGCACATTCCTTTTGTTCTCTCAGTCTTATTTACTTGTCTACTCATTGTACATACACATTGAGAGCCAGTGTACTAGAGTCAAATTTCTCGTGTGTGCAACACACCTGGCCAATAGAGCTGATTCTGATCTACTATGGAGTGGTCTGCTGGGGCAGCAGCATCATGACCACAAACAGGAAAAGATTAGGCAAACTGGTCAAGAGGGCCAGCTCTGTCCTGGGAGGGCCCCTTGACCCAGTACAGGTGGTGGGTGACAGGAGGATCTTAGCCAAGCTAACATCCCTGCTTGAGGACTCCCACTCCATACACTGATAGGACTAGGCAGTTCCGTCAGTGACAGACTGCTTCACCCTAAGTGCGTGACAGAGCGTTATCGCAGGTCCTTTCTTCCTGCTGTCAGACTGTACAACCAGCATTGCTCCCAGTAAAGCTGCACCCCCCAGTCGACCTCACACACCCACACTGAATAACTGTGAATGCTCCGCATGCCAGTGGGCAACGTCTTACAGTTGTTTGTTAATATTGATAATGCCTCATCTGTTACGTTCTGATTAACACTGTGTGCCTGTTTCTGTCCCTTTGCTGCTGTAACGATGAATTTCCAGATCGTGGGACTAATAAAGGTTTATCTTATCATTGCCAAGAATATATTTCAGAGAGAGAAAGATTCAAGAGATTAGAAATGTATTCGCCATGCAAGCATTTAACGTTCATATTGTAATGGTTCTAATGTCTAGCATCTAGTTATATGGTTCTAATGTCTAGCATCTAGTTATATGGTTCTAATGTCTAGCATCTAGTTATATGGTTCTAATGTCTAGCATCTAGTTATATGGTTCTAATGTCTAGCATCTAGTTATATGGTTCTAATGTCTAGCATCTAGTTATATGGTTCTAATGTCTAGCATCTAGTTATATGGTTCTAATGTCTAGCATCTAGTTATATGGTTCTAATGTCTAGCATCTAGTTATATGGTTCTAATGTCTAGCATCTAGTTATATGGTTCTAATGTCTAGCATCCTGTTATATGGTTCTACATGTTATTGCCTGAAAGAATGTGAGAGGGGGCGCTGTGAGGTGTGTGGGAGGAGAGAGCGAGGAAGAGTAGGCAGTTTTTGGTGTTGTTGTGAAGTGTTGAATGTTGGGAGTTTTTAAAAGAGAGCTCGTTAGCGTGTGCTGTGGCTGAAACAACAACATGGAAACCTGTTAAGTTATTACAAATAAAAGGACATTGACACCACAAGAACGTCTGGCTGCTTGTGTAGGAACAGAGAGTATTACAATATTTTACCCTGGTCGGTAGCTAACTTACGTTAGGTTAATCTAGCAAATGTTACGAACGAGAGAGTGCAGATGTTGAACTGGACTAACCCTATTACCTTCTTACCAAAGAGAATGCAAATTATTACACTGCCAAAGTTAGAAAAAACAAGTGATGCGTAACATTTGCTCTTGCGTTATGAAAGCATGTTTCCATACAAGTATCACAACATTAAACTACCACGCCTCTAGGTTGGGACTTAACGTTAACTGTTAGCTAGCTAAGTATCAAGGTTTTTTTCTTTATTTAAATCAGAGCCAACAGTTAGCATCGCTTAAACTAAGTATTTGGAACATCGTTCTATGTTACATGTACAGCTGTTAAAAAAAGATCATACAGCAGCGCTAAAAAATAATATGAATACACTTACCCGTCCATTGCAGCTCTTTGTCCTCTTCTGCCTGATGATATTTCAGCACACTTCGCAGCGTGAGCAAAATGGGCGTTCTTTGCCTTGTTTTTAATGGCTATTGGTGATCAACGGTGACGCTTGGTTCATTACCGTCACCTTCTGCTTAGGAGGGTAACTTCTCCTTTAGCTGGATTCAAGGGTATGTAGCAGAGATGTATCGACTGTGCGCCTGACAAACCTGTGTTCTCGCGGAACCACAAATTCTCGCGGTCACTAGACGCTCGCCTAGTCCCGCCCCTTTTGATTACTGTTCCAAAAGTGTAAGATTTACCTGAAGAAACAATGGCTGCTTGAATGCAAACACGAGATTAAAATCAGCATTATGTAATTTAAATATCACGGTAATACATAGTTGTTCTCAGATTCATGGAGCTAAAGTATTAGCAGTAAAAGTAGACAGGCATTCTCAGCTTCATGTAGTTAAAATATTTGCAGTGGTTTTTAGGACACTTGTCTTTACTACAAATTAAAGTATATGACAAACTGAAGATGCACCAATTGTCCACTTCTGTTGTTTGTACTTCCTTCTTGTACAAATGCAGTGCTCCATACTACTAGTCAGGTGTGACTCTGTAGTTTAAAAGTAAAACAGCAATAATAATAATAATAAATCAGAACAGAATCAGCCAATCTTTGTGTTGCTTCCAAGTCCCATGTTTGCCGTGTTGTTGCTTGGGCAGTGGACATCTCGGAGACACTTTGCATATCTGATGAGCCCATTCTACTCCACTAAGCATACATTAGACACCACTTTTCACCTCCTCAGCTCCACAAAGAAAAGACAGAATGAAGTGAACTGTGAGCATACATGCTACCGAACAATCTGTGGCACTGATTTGAATATCAAGGGCTGTTTTTCTATGCACATCTTGACATAGACACATCAGGTCACTGTGGAGGATGAAGGAAACATCTTCAGTAACTACATGCAGGACTGGGGCTGCTGTTCCAAGGCGTTCGGCTGGACGAGGGAGGTTCAGTCTCTGGGAGCAACCCGGAATGAGAGCTGCTCTTCTTGAAGATGCCCCCATCACTTTCTCTTCCACACCCACCCAACTCCAACATGGTGCATCTAATTAAACTACACCTCCCAGGCATTTAAGGACTTGACACAACAAACTGAGAGTTTGTTTTGTCAATATATATAGTTTCCAGGGACATGGTCACACCACAGATTTTTGAGGACTTTTAAAATTTCAGTCATCATTTAATAAAGGATTAGATCCAATTCAAGCAGGATTCAAGACTGAACAAAGACTGTTATCCTTCTCATAGTTAGATCCTTCCTACATGCCTCTTGTGTGACAAAAACACATTACCAGTCTGACTCCATAGATACACACAAGAAATCAGCATGGCCAGTCCTTTCTTCTATGGATGCTAGTTCTTCAAACATCCTGATGATCTCTTCTCCATTACAAAAGTAGTCAAACTTTAGTCAAAATTCATTGATTCAGTAACTGTGGAGGCACAGTAGTGCAGTGGTTAGCACTGTCTGATTCAGTAACTGTGGAGGCACAGCAGTGCAGTGGTTAGCACTGTTGCTTCACAGCAATAAGGTTCCTTGGTTTGAGCCCTGGCCACCCAGGGCCTTTCTGTGTGCAGTTTGCATGTCCTCCCTGTGCCTGCATGGGTTCTCTCAGTGTACTCTGGCTTCCTCCCACAGTCCAGAGACATGCAGCTTAGGTTGACTGGTGACTCTAAATTGCCCGCAGGAATGAGTGTAGGTGTGTGTGGTTGTTTGTTTACATGTCAACCCTGTAATAGACAGGCGACCTGTCCAGTGTGTACCCTGCTTCTCATCCAATGTCAGCTCACATTGGCTCCAGCGACTCTTTTCAGGAATAAGCGGTATAGATAATGGATGGATGGGATTCTTTTAGTGGGAGCTAAAATGAAGAACCACAATAAAATGGAAACAGGAGAAATGTGCGAATATTTTGTATGATGAGTGTCATAACACTCAAGGAATAATGTTGTAAGGGCATCAGCTTCTGTTGTTACTATTTAATTTCTCATGTTTTCATCTTTAGTCATGCTTCAGTTTTATGCTTAACACTTTGCTTCACGTGAGGTTTATAATTTGTTTTATTTAGTTTGTTTTCCATAGTACTGATCAATATATCTAAATGTATGTTATTTGTATATTGTTTCATGATGGAAGAAAACCAAACCAAATGAAGCCAAACCAAGAAACAGAAGAGTCTTGTCCTAAGACTGCTACTTACTCTATATCTAATTAATGCAAGAATTGTATTACTTCTTCTCTCTCAAGAAGATACACATACTGGATGTCTTTTTATTTAAATCATTTTTGATTTGATTTGATTTGATTTGATTTTATTCTTTCAAACATGCAGAACAAATGACATCAACACACACATAATTACACAAAGCCAACCAATACTAATCCAGAATCAGTTTGCTTATACCTAGTACATGTTTGAATGGAGTAGGAAGAAGTCAGACTTATCCAGTCCTACCCCATAACATCATCTTAT